GGGTGGAGTCCTGGGGGGCAGTTAGAGGCAGGGGTCTCAGGAGGGGGCAGTCAGGGGACAAGAGGCAGGGAGGATTAGGGAGGGGGTGGAGTCCTGGGGGGCAGTTAGAGGCAGGGGTCTCAGGAGGGGGCAGTCAGGGGACAAGAGGCAGGGAGGCTTAGGGAGGGGGTGGAGTCCTGGGGGGCAGTTAGAGGCAGGGGTCCCAGGAGGGGGCAGTCAGGGGACAAGGAGTAGGGGGGAGGGTTGGGGGTTCTGAGGGGGCAGGAAGTGGGAGGGAGTGGCAGGGGCGGGGCTAGGACAGGACGGGGGCGGGGCTAGGGCGGGACTCCTCCCGTCCTCTTTTTTGATTGTTGAAATATGGTAACCCTACCATAGCTATCCTCTCCAAAGTGCCCAGGAATGCATCAGGGTCATCTGCAGGGCCAATCTTATGTAGTCCTATGCCCTGTGTTCAGGCGCCATCCCCCACCATGGGATTCACCACCTTCTGTAGGAGCTACTGCTGCACATTGGTTTGTTCCCTTATGAAATCTTGCAAGCTTTTCTATTGCTCTGCCTGCCAGTTAAACAAAGCCTGCCTCTCTATGTTGGTGGGATTGTTCAAATCTTTGCAGGGTCTTCTGCATTTCTTCTTACTGTTTTACCAGCCATTGCAGGGTCTCCTCCATCGTCCCGGCCACCAAACCCTTGTGCTGGCTAAGATCCCAAACAAGCCCCCACATGTGGCAGGCTCACTCGCTCCTGCCTCTGCTCAAGTCCACAAACCTCTGAGAGACCTTCATGCTGATAAAAAACCTGGAGCAGTTTATTTACAATGTTGATTCCCACCACCCTTGTACAACATTCCACCTTAGTCCCACAGACTGTGGGAGCCTTCAGCCCCAGAGGCAAGCAGGGAAGATCAATCTCTCTCTCCCTCTCTCTACTTCTTTTTTTTTTCCCTAATGGCTTAATTAGCCTTCCAGCTCTCCTCCACCCCCCAATTAGGGAGGTACCGCTCTTCTTAACAAGGTCTGTTCTGCAGTGTTTAATTGAAGCTCAGTGACCAGAAAGCTGGCTCATCTGTTATTGCCTAGCATTCTCCCCAACCCTTCTCCCTGAGGGTCTATCCTTTCTTTAAAAATTTGTTTATTTCATCCCAATCCCAAACTGGGCACAGCTCTTCCTCGCTGAGAGTCTGTCTTCCTGCTCTCTTGGCACTTCTTCCCTGGAATTTGGCCTTCTCCACAGGCTTCCTTTCTGATGCTTGTTAACTCTTGGCCCTGAAGGAACCTTCTTATTCCCTGCAGTGTCTGCAGGTATCGGCCTAGCCCACTTACAGCTGTCTTCCCCTTTATAAGTTCCCGCTGCCTTTCCTTGAGCCCAGTTGTGCAGCAGTGTGGTGACGACACAGGAAAGGAAATAGAACACCAGGTTTGTGGTAGCTAGAGAGCTTTAAAAGCCTCAAGCAAAAAGCCTCCCAGGAAAACTTTCCTGGGGTTTTTATTTCTCTTTTTACTTTGTTTACAACACTTCTTAGTGGTTACATTTTTGCGCATAGAAAAGCCAGGCAGTATACATGCACATAAGATAACGAACCCATCTCTTGAGCGCCTGAACAA